CATGCCGAATCTTTGCTGGTAACTTACTGCCATGTTGCGATATACAGACTAATAGAAATGGGTTAAATTAAGAGGTAAGAGTTAGCCAATAAGAAGCTAGAGCTAATGGGCCAAGCAGTGTTTTAATTAATACAGGTTCTGTGTTATTATTTTGGGCCTGAGCAGCCGGGAACAACCAAGCAACCTCACTCCCTGCTACAAAAGAAAAACTGAGAAAAGAAGACAGGCCACGGGGAGAATTCCAAGTCCTTTTAAATTTAAATTTTAAATTTTGATAATTTAATATATGAGAACTGTATTTATATCATTTCTATTCCTCCCATTGCCTGCTCCAATTCCTCCCAAATCTCCTCCCTCACTCCCTCTTGAATTCATGAGATCGTCTTCCTTAATTATTATTTTTATTACACATGTGAGCATGCACACAGACACACACACATACAGAGAAAACATGATGAATTCACTTAGTGTTTCTTATATTGTTTAGGATAAACCACTTGGGATCACAGAGCCTACCTGAAGCTCCTCCCTGAAGAAGCTTATTTAAAACCTCACAGTTTTAAGCATCTTTGAATTGCCCATAGCTCTTCATTACAGACACTGTGTGTTATGAAAAGAAGCTTTTCTGATGAGGGGAGAGAGATACATTGTGACTATAAGGATAAGCATTTAGAATATACTTAGGGTAGGGCCTTGGGAGATTGTCTATATTCACAATAGTATATCAACTAGTGTTTTCATTTTTAAATTTTGTTCAGGTGATCAAATTTTTTATAGTTTCCTTGTGATCTATAGAAAATACCATCTCACAGCAGATGCTGTGGTCCTCTGTTTCAGACAATCATTCCACTCCATCTTTTTCAGAGTGTTGTTCCCTGGGCCTTAGACACAGGGGTTATAATGTTTGTAGATGTATCAATTGGCATTGAGCACACCACTGTGTGTCTTTTGACAAGTTGAGGTCTACAGTGATCTCTGTCCTAGTTTCTTTCCCATTGCTGTGATAAACAACACCACCAAAAAACATGGGGAAGTAAGTGTTTATTGGCTTATAGGTTACAGTCTGACATCAGAAGAAGCCAAAGCAGGAACTTAAGGCAGGAACCTGGAGGCAGGAACTAAAGCAGAACCAGGGAGGGACACTGCTTACTGACTTGCTCCCCATGGCTTGATAGGTCACCTTTTTATCTGACACTGGACCACCTGTCCAGAGATGGCACTGCCCACAGTAGGTTGAGTCCTCCCACATCAATTATTACTCAAGGAAATGCTCCACAAACATGCTCATGGAAAAATCTCTTGGAGACAAGTTTTCAACTGAGATTCCTTCCTCCTAAGAGACTCTAGTTTGTGCCAAGCTTACAAAAACTAACTAGCAAAATTTTTGTCTGCTACGAAATGAAACTTTTGCTTTATTTGTTGTTGCTCTCTGAAGAGGGGTGAGAGGTACGCTCATCTGTGTGTATAAGGTTACACATTTAGGATGCAGTTATAAATCATCCTGGCTTAGGGAAGGTGACGGTAGTAGGTTATTCTCTAGGTCCGTCTTCTCATCAGCCATGGACACTTGCATTGGTTTACAGCACCAGGAATGGACTTATTCCTATAGAGTTACTTAAGATCCATTAGACAACTTCTAGTTAGCCCTAAGATATAAATGCCACTATTGCACACCATGGGACATCCTACCATGCTGCCATTGTTGTGGTTACTAGGCTTTACATCTGGGTCAGGCTATTGATTTTTTTTTCTCACACAGCAGCTTGCACAATACCTTTGGATGCTATAAAATTCTTCAGAGAGAGGTTTCCAGGTCTATTCCAGCTAATTTCCGGCAAACCACATATTTAACGTGTGTGGTGTTTCCATTAATGGGGTTTTACCTTCAGGTTCTGGAGCAACCAAAGGCAAAGACAATGTCTATGGCCTTATGGGGAGCATCGCCACCCCCACATGATATAACTTTATTTTCTTCTCTCTCTTTCTCTGTCTCTGTCTCTGCCTCTCTCTCTCTCTCTCTCTCTCTCTCTCTCTCTCTCTCTCTCTCTCTCTCTCACACACACACACACACACATACACACACATACAATATGTGGTTTAAACAAACATAAAACATTTCCAAATGGCCTTTTAACCCCCCCCCCGATGTTATAATCTCTCTTCCCTCTCAGTACCTCTATGTGGCTCTCCATTCCCCACTTCCCAGACAAATCCCCCAGTTTCCCCACTTCTGGGTTCATAGCACTTGTGTTCTACTAATCCCCTCCCCAGGGTACCTTCTCTTTCTTCTGACTGCAGTTCCTTTTGACTTTGCTGGATTCTGAGGTTATTTCAAGTTATAGATTTATCTAATATCCAATGGTGACTGAGGGAAACATTTTGAGCCTCAGTGGGCCATGCTATTTGAAGCTGGAGACAGTGTTGTGGTCTGACTAGAAAGACAGACTGAAGGAGAGTCAATTAGGAACTCCACAACAGCCTTGACAAGCCATGCTGAGACCACAGAACAGGGAAAGTAATACACAGGCTTGAGAAACTGATAATATTTAAGAAAGAGAAATAGGAGACACCTCAGTCAGTGAGTCAGAAGGTGTCATTGGACACCCAATGGAATGTGGAGAGTAGATATGGATAGATGGGGTGCTCTACACAAAGCCAGGGGTGGGAGACCACACTCTGGAGTAGTAACCTGTTTGGCAGGCACGGATGCTGAAATAGCTGGAGGAATTTTGAGAGGTTACTTTCAAAGGAAAGACCCTGATGTTTCCGTTGTTTTTCCCGGATCACACCTATAAGCCCATGGCGAACTGATTTTCTTTATCCCTTTGATGTGAATTAGATGATCAGCCCTTTCAGGCTCCAATATGGTAGATATCTACAGAACTTATTCCAACCCCAGTACACTTTATCTGTTTTGAAACTGAATGAGTGAACGTCTTCCCCAGACCAACTTCTCAAAGGAAACTCTATCAAGCATCTACTACAGGAACATTCTACAGTGTCATGCACAGAAAAATTAGTGCATTTATCTATGTTAAACTCTCAATGATTACACTGACCTTTTCAGCACATAGAAGGGACATTTACTCCCAAGTCGGTCCCTGAGACAGGTTTGATAGAAGTCACATTTGTTTGCGGGTTTTCAATACTGGAAAAAAAAATAGTAAAGAAGAATATTCTGACAGAAAAAAAAAAGAATTCAAAATCCACAGGCCTGATTGGGCTTATCTGGGAAACTTTCTTCCCTTATGATTTGGATTTTCTGTTTTAGAAATTATTTTATAACAGAGACTTAATGCATTACATCTAATTTTCATTACAATATTTTTATTTTTATTCTAACTACTTTTAACAATGATCAAAAAGTAAGAAGGGATGTGTGCATATGTGTGTACATGTGTGTGAGCATGTGTGTGTATATGTATGTATGTGTGTGTTGTATGGTAAGTGATTAAACATGACCACTGTCCCTACAGCGCTTTCTCCCATGACCCAATTTTTTATACAACTGACTTGTACAACAGCTGTTTGGTACTAGTTAGAGGAACTTGAGAAAGTTACTTAACCTTTCTGCCCCTCAATTTTTCCATCTAAGAAATGAAGGATAATGGTACCTTTGCTTCAGTCCCATTGTTAAGTTTGAATATTGAAACACGTAAAGTACCCTGTAGATTGCTCTTTTGACCCAAACCAGCACTGTTATTAGTCTTGTGCTTATAATTATTATTGAGGACCAAGGGAAAATAAATCGAGAGGAGCACTTATGGAAGGCCAAAATGTAAGCAGATGAAGCTAGTCTTCCAAACAGGCTGAGGGTCTACAGGGCATAATCTATCAAAGGATTCTGTCACGGATGAAAATGCCAGAAAAACAAAATGTTAGCTTCACTATCCAGATATGCAGGCCACTCTGCACATCATCTCATTTTAGCCCAGAATAACTGCAGAAGGCGGTGCCCCATCTGCAGAGAGACAAACCAAAGGCCAAAATATCCAAAGCCACACAATATGAAGGCTGAAGTACCCACCCCAGGCTCGTCAGTTAAGTGAACGTGGGTTGTCCACGGTGGTTCTCATAGAGTGCTTGGAAACTTACCAGAAGTTCAAGTTCTGAAGTCCCTCTATATCTCTCGGGTTTAGATTTATTGCCTTTAGATCTGTTGAAGATGGGTCCAACAAGCGAAGGTGACGTCAGAGGATATTAGTGAGGGAAGATGGAAAATGCTTATGCACAAGGAGTCTAGACTGGTACACTAGGATTCAGGTGGAGAAAAAGAAGTGTCTTTCCAAAGGGCAGGTCAGAGTGGGAGCAGAGAGCGGAAGAGAAGAGTCCTACTTGCGGAATGCTGAGCCATAGAGAGATCAATGCTCTCAGCCTGTGGGGAAGGAGAAAGCCTGGATTAGTGGTGAGTGGCAGTGTATCCAAAGATTTTCTTTTAGTTTTTAGTCTGTTAGAGTGGTAGGTATTTTTTGTTTGTTTGTTTTTACATTGTTAATGAACGAAGGACATTGGCAGAGCCCAATAACTAGTTACACAGGCTTTTCTCCTCTATAAAGAAAGAGAACACCTAAGAGCAAATAGTAGTTCTTGAGTACCTGGGTGGGGGCATTTCTTCTGTTATCTGACTTCTTTCCCATGGTCTGCCACTGCAGAGGAAGGAAGTCAGGCTCAGGAGGCTCACACAGTCCATGCCTTGCTACAAAGCCATCACGGCAGGTCATGTGAGCTTTTCATCCACCTATCACTTCACTCTCATTACAGGCTTTATTGCATAAAGAGGAGGATCGCATGTATCATAATTTATAAATCAGCCCTACGTGCCAATCTCTAAACTAAGAAGCAAACTCCGCTCAGATTTTGGGCAGATGATATGCCAGGTGCCATCCAGTGTCCCTTGGATTTTGGGCAGCTATGCCAGGTGCCATCCAGTGTCCCTGGGCTCCCTCAGCACTTGGCTTCCTACCGTTTTGACTTTGAGCTTCACCTGTGCTTCTTCTGGTCCCTGTTCCTAAACTCTTGATCCCATGATCCTCTTCTGCTTCCAGCTTTGTTTTCTCTGAATTTGCGGCTGTCTCCGTGGAACCTAGGACCACATGAGTTTATTATTCAGGCATTGCTTCAGCTTCAGGAGTACTTTTTCTAATGCTTGCTACTGGGGTGAGCCCTGACATCCAGGTCTGACCCAAGACGTAGGCCAGCTGCTAGAAAAGACAGCCGATTTCACCAGCTCTAGCCTGGCTGAGAGCATAGAATTGCAGATGGCAAGCTCCCATCTGCCCTGAAAGTTCTTCATAGCATCATTTAAATTCATCTTTGTCTGCCGTGACTCTGGTGTTAGGGCCTGACCTATCTTTTTCCTCTTGAGATATAATTTGTCTTACTTCTGAGATTCTCCCTGGGGAACAATGCAGTCTTGTCCCTCCTCTGTTTCTGGCTTCAGGGCATCCATCTCGGTGCCACAGATGCTAGTGAGCTTGCCCTGATTCACAGTCTCAGCTAGGACAAGGTCCTGGAGAAGAAGCAAAAGTAGGGATGGGAAGCAGTGAGCCTGACGGTCAGAGAGAGCATTTTACAGTGTGGTTTGGAGCTGGAGGAAACACAGCAGTCACTTTCTACCTAAGATGCCAGAAGTAAGTGCACTTGGGGCTCTCTTCCCTTTCTTCATAAGATGACAGTGATTGTAATTGGAAAGGCAGACACGAAAGAGGGGCTACGTCAGAGTAATTTTTAAACGCATTTAAGAGTTGGAGGAAGTCTATTGTAATTCTCTTGATTCTAGAAACTTATGCCACATAAATTATAACCTTTTGATTTTAGGATACAAGGTTGCAGTGATGGGAAGAGTGGATAATCATGATGGTCTTGTTAGCTGAGCCAAGCTGAGCAGATACATTATCTTGTTGCTATGTAACTTATGACAGTGTAACTTGTGCCCACACCCCTTTTGCAAAGGGGTTTGAAGCTTTGATCAGGAACAAATAACAAAGCATAAATTTTGACTATGGAAAATTCATGACCACATAGGAAGGCCCTTTCAACATGAAATTACCTTCAAATATTAACTAATGTTGAGAACTGGGCCTTCAGCAATGTAGGCTAAACACACACACACACACACACACACACACACACACTAAAATTAATTGGATTTGGAAGTGCCGATTCAGTCTAATACAAATAGATAAATAACAAAATACATTATAGAAAACCTGATGAGTAAGTGAGAATCACAGTTTATCAATTTGCAGTAAGAAATTACTATCAACCAAAATAGAACCTTGCGTAAGCCTGGCCAGTACATTCCCTCTTTGTAGCCAACTTTGCAGGAAAGTCAGAGGATCATGAGGAGGCCTTGGGGAGCTTGGGGAGCTAGTGAGAGTGCTGGTTCACATTGTGCCATGTTAAACCATCACAGTGGTTCCCAGGAGGGGCTTGTTCTTACAGAGGGGCAGGAGTCACTGGGCCATAGACAGAACTCACTCCACCAGATCCTGCCACTGCAGCTCTCAGTTTGCGTCACTCGGTTTTAGACTATTCTGATTATTTCAATACAAACTCTTACGTTAATTCTATCCCTGCAAACAGAATTCTCCAGGCTATTCTCTAATTCTGCATCAACTAAGAATAGGCTTAATGTAATAAATGAAAATGACAGAAAATTCAAAATTGTTTTTTAGGATATGAAAATTACATGGGATTTACATGTCATTGCCCATAAACAGTCCTATGGAATTGCAGCTATGTCTGTTAATTGGGGTTGTCGGCAACTGCTTTGGCGTTAGCAAGGCAATGAGGCAAACCAAGAGCTGTACCAGCCGGTGCCTCACAGCCAAGCCCTCTTTCCCACCATGGTTTTGATTTTATAATCCATCACTCACAGAAAGACTTTATTTCCCTTACCTTTTAGAGAGAGCTACATAGCAAAGTCGGCCTCCATCCAAGCTTCCTCATCTCATAGGCATAACATTTAGATTAAAATCTAGAGATGGAATATAAAATCTTTCCACCACAGAGATAGTAGGAGTCATTTACTGACTAGCCATCGTGTGCTGTGATTCTCTTATTTCATCCTCAGGATTACTCCGTGTGCTGTTTGATTGAACCTGTTTTTAAGGACGAGGAGAGTATGCAGCAGACATTGTGATGCTTCTTGGCTATGCCCTGATTAAACCATTTATTTGAAACCATCCTGCCTAACTCCAGCGCCTGCATTTGTCCACATCAACTAAACAAAGACCATACTCGGGAGGGACAACCCTGTATGTGGGGGAAATGTGTTAATGTTATATCAGGTTTGATTTGGGATCCTCCTTGTTTAGTTTGCCATTGTTTAGTGTCACACTTTTGTAGAAACACGGAGGCAGAGATAAACATTTCTTAAAGTCCTACGCAAAATCAAAATAACCAACATTCCAGTAGGATAAGGGATGGACTCATGAGACCTCTCCCCAGCTGAAGAACTACCGACACGTGATGGCTTCTCAGGGAGGCAGAGTCTTTAAGGGCGTAGCCCCTGATCAGATAACCAAGCTTGAGTGGGGGCCTCATACACACGAGTATATGAACAGCACAAATTGGACTCGGTGGGATATTTACAAAGAAAAGAAAGGGCACACAAGGTTCAGAAGGGCGGGGAAATAGGGAGATGTAAGAGGAGTGAAGGGGAGGAGTGAGGTGTGTGACCAAAACACACTGTATCAAATTCTCAAAGAAATAGTAAGATAGTATAAAGCAATAACTAAATAACATCAAGTACTGAGTGTGTGGTGGTGACTACGAACTTCACAACCTGTTAGATGGCATAGGTGGGTACACATAGCAGCTGTCACTGTCTGGGGACTCAGGGCCAGGATTACTACCTTGCCTTAGCTTCCAGGAGATGTTATGAGGTCAAGTTTTACACTAGACTAAATTATGTGGATTTAAATACACCTCTCTTCAGCGCAGCTATGGGCCATGAGGTGCTGAGCTGTGACCTCTGGAGTATGCCTGGAATCAAGCACCTCCTATTCTGAAAGCCACATACTGTCCACCCACACAGGAGTGATGAGAGTCTCCAGCCACGTAGATGGATCCTCTGTTCCCTCTAGAAACAGCTAAGCACACAGGTAAGAAACGTCACTTGTGAGGCCTTCATCACAAACAAACTGTTGACACTAGCTTCATCATAACAAACAGACTTCTGGTCTCCCTTGCCGTGACATCTCCAGGTTAAAATAGTCCCCACCTTTGTAAAATTCTTCCACCAGTTTTGACATTATATGTCACCTAATTTGACTAGCTTTTCCTTCGTGCCTTCTCCAGCCTGGTGGGTGTATAACAAAACGGAGAGAGGGTGAGTTTATTCTGGTTTATATTCTCACATTTTGAGATCGTGGACTTCTACAGCGTGCCTAATACAGCACAGCCCATCCTAGGAACACAAGCAAGTCGTACTCTGCCTTAACTGAAAGCCCCAGGAGAGTCCCAACTGCGCATTTCCCTGCTAAGTTACTTTTTAATGTTTGAACAAAAACAGCAAGGCAGTTTGAGCTGGAACAAATCTATTTTTTATACCCATTGAATCAGAATTCAAAATAACTCTAAACCTTCGTCCAAACTCACTTAAAATTTTATTCCATGTGAAACTCCACCAGGATGAATTTTATGGAGGGATGTTTCAAAAATCCAAAGTGGAGACCTAGAAGGCTCTGTGAGAGTCTCTTTCCTGGGTCCCAAACAGATGCTCAAGCCCCTCCAGGCTCACTTGGCCATAGGGGCGATAGGCGGGAGCAGCCAAAACAAACTGCCTGCCCACCCTGGAAATACACATTCCTCGCTGACCTTCGGGATGCAGCTCACTCAGCTACAACGCTACATGCCTGGTGAGCAGTCGGTATTCCTGGTATATTCATGCAATGAATTATGAGTGACTTCCAAACTTCCTTTTCTGTAGTCTTCTGCATATTTCACCCAAGCTGAAGTCAAACACTCTCTCAACTCTCCTAAGAAGATTCATTTGCATAAGTGACTAGGGTTGCTTGTAAGTGACTATGATACATTTCCTAAGGCAGTTAATCCTCCTTATAATGTGGATTTCTGCAATATAAAAACTGTCCTAAACATATGGACTCCAACCAGATGGGGAAAATTAAACCCAATTTAAAACTCAAATTTCTTTTTTAAAATAAACAGTTTCTATAGAAAAGGAACAAAACTCATTTTAGAAAAAGAACATATTGACCTTTTAGAAAAAGAACATAGATTGGTAAAACTGGCAGTTGTCACGCAGACCACCAACAGCCTGAAACAGAGGTCCCTGAGGGGTGAATGAAGCAGCGAGTGGCAGTAGACAGACCCCCTGAAGCTGGGTGGGAGAGGGAAGGCCCGCGGTGATCTGTGTTTGGGAGCAGGGTTCTGAGCCTACTCCTCACACAGCAGCCCTGCGCCAGAGTCACATAAAAGAGGTGGGATTCTTGCAGCATGTAAGCTTTACTTCCTGTGGTTTCCGATTCCAAACTAGAAATGGGACTGCAGAGGATATAATTCAGCTCAAAAGTAGACAACTATTTCAAGGGTGCTGTCCCAGTGCACTCTGAGTATCAACCATAACTCTGCCTGCACAGGAGCCTAAACCCCCTCAGGATGCGCAGCAAGAACATTGTCAGAGGGGAGACTGTGTGTGAATGCCGACTGCGACCAGCTGCTGGCACATCTGGAAACCTGGAAGCCTTTGGCACCTTCCTATCCTCAGCCTCCTATACCCAGCTCAACAACTCCAAGACTCGATACCCTCATTTCCTGACACCCTGCCCTGCGCCTGCTCAGCTAAGAGCATCTTCCATTGAGTGACAGTCACTGTTCCAACATTGTTCTCCTGCAATCCTCCTTCTTATACCACAATCTCTGTTTCTACACACAAACCAAGCATTTCTCCAGCCCTGCGTCTCAACTGATTATCTTCACGGTATCCCTGAGCATCCAGAAAACATAAAGCAGGGCCTTGCATCTCTTCCCCACCTTGACCTTCACCTATATAAAACATTCTCATTCTCCAGAATGACATGCAAGCCTGGCTTCCTGAAACATGCCCTCGACAGTCTCTGTGAAGGTTCATCTTTAATAGCAAGCAATACATTTTGTTCCACTATGTCCTCTCACCGCCTCTGTTCTTCACTGATAAGATGGAAATATTAATTAAGTTAGTCTGCCATGTGCGAATTAAGATAACAAGTGTGAAGCAAGTAGCCGGAGCCTGGCACATGGCTAAATGAGTTTTCCTTAGAAAATGGTCCTATTTTTAGCAACAGTGATTGGTGGGTGGATTTTCTGAGGTTCCACTAATATGAAGTAGATCAGACTGCCTGGGTGCAAGTCTGGATTTTGCCTTATGAATTTCCTGAAGTTTCTTACCTTCTCAGTGCCTGTTTCCTTTGAAGAACCAAAGTTCCTCCATCTTGTACTTAAGAGTGGGCATTAGCTTCCCAGAACAGCAAGAGAGTTCCCAGAATTAGCTCCGGCAAAAGGACCAGGATAGCCACCTGGAGAGAGCAGATAACCACAGAATGTCACCACCCAGAGGCCAGCCAATGAAAAGGCTTGACAAACAACAAGTGAGGTTTGTAAAATAGGACACTGGATAGTCCCCAGACAGGAGCCAATCAGAAGTGTACCCATTACCCTGCACCACACAGATATAATCTTGTGGGTTTTGCCTTTAAGTACTGGTACTTAGGAAAGGGGGCATCTCTTCTAGCTGTGACACCTGCCTTGACGAGGTCCCTGACAGCTTGAAATGTGAATCAATAAACTTTGATTTTGCATTTCGGTGAGACGGTCTCCCTGGTGGTCTTACTGGGGTCTCCATGGACTGGGCATAGCATCCCTGTTTATAGGATGGCATGAGAAGTGAACAGTTTCTTCATCGCACACTGAGGGTTATATGAGCGAATACAGGGAAACCCTTTAGAGCCAAAGCCAACACATGGTGTTCGTATTTCTCTTGTAGGATTGTTTCTAAGGATGAACCATGGCACTGTAGACTGCAGGACCCAGGATCCAGTTTCTGCAGGTTTCTCAGACATGGACTATCAGTTGCAAATTTAACTGCGTCACTACTAGCATCATGGTTCCTGGAGGAAACCAAAGACTCATTGCTATTTTACTAAATAATGTTTCAGGTTGCTTTTGCTTCTTTATTAGCCAAGTTAATCCCACTAAGCTACAGCACCCATACACCGAACTACAGGACACACATGGCCAAAGCACCCTACCAAGTTCCCTCCGCTAGAAGGTGAAGTTTGGCTTTTACATTTTTGTCACTCTTCTGTCTCCTTCACATGAAGATTGTGAGCATCGTCAGAGGTGATTTTCACCAGCTCTCCCCTGACACTTGCCAGCCCTGCCAGCGATGACTCCCTGTACTCAACAGTCAGCTGAGTGAGCTCCACATATCTTAACTCACCTGACTTAACCACTCGGTAATGGGTATTTCTTCGGAGTCATCTATTTTTAACAGATAAATATAAAATCAAAGTCTAAGTTGGATTGGTCCTATTATAATACACTATAGTTGGGCACTTCAGTGATGGGTACAGTCCTTTTTACTAAAACCTTTTGTTTATGGGGCTTACTGTGTGCAGGGTGCTGCTTATAAAATAATCTAATTTAATTGTCTATAACCTTATAAGTTACATACTTTACTCCATAGAAGATGGAAATAAGACTGTGATAGCTTAAATGCTTGAAGCCACGATTCAGAACTGTTCTTTCAGCTCTTGCATAAGAAATCAGCAAAGCAAACATTAGATAAGAAGGGTTTATGAAGAACATTGAATGGGTTAATCAGCCTACGGGAGACACTGAGCTATTCACAAGTGTCCAGGAGAATTCACCTTAGGCATAGGATCTAGTACCCGCCAGGGGATGTTAGTTAGTGTCCCAGTTTCCTCTTTCATCCCTGCTCATCTTGACAGCCTTCTGCAGGGTGATGACAGGGACATGGATGTCAGCACTGTGTATTTCCCCTTGCACACATCCTTTCGTTTTCCTAGAGTGTGACAGAGAATAGGCTCCCCAAAAAACATTGTTAGATGACCTTAGTTGTGATATAAGTCAAAAGTCATAATGTAGACATCAGTGACTCCAATGGTATTGGTATGTATATGGAAAGTAATATTAGGAAAAAGTCAATTAAATTTTTTAAATTTTTTTATTTAGTAGTTCATATTTATGAGTACTTCCCATCTACAAAGAAAATGGCTGAAACTCTGAGGTCGAAGCTCACATGACTTTGAGTTGCTTTGCACAGGCAGCTGCCCTGCGGCCGCTCTCCCCTGTTGGCACCATCAGAACTCTAAATGCCACCACAGAAACGAGGATCTGAATCACCTTCCACACTTAGCCCTGTTTTCCCATGAATCTGCTTGTGCCAAAGGAATAAAATTATTCATGGAAAGAGGGCCTTTGAAATCTGTGTTGACTCACTCATTAGCCCAGAAATTCCCTTGATTAAATGTTACTCGAATTCAAACTCAACTTGAAGAGAGGCTAAAACCAGAAGTCCTCTATGGAACCTTCCTCTACCTACTCTTTCCTCTGAATCTATGGAAATAAAATCTCAGCATCCACCTACCTATAGTTCAGGTGCAAAGCTGGAGGCAGCTGTGAGGGACCACATCTCCGAGGATAGCGTGGCTCTGTGGTGACCCTGTACCAGCGTTCAGACTTAATGGATATGGAAGAGCAGACAAAATAATGATCAAGTCTGGAAGTGCTGATAGGAGAATTACTGAACTAATGAGTTACTTAAAAACACTGTGTCAGCCCAGACTGTATTGATGTGTGGATAGGTTTTAATACTAAAATTTTTAACTGTTTATGTAATGCCTATGTGTGATTTAGCAAAAGCTAACTTCCTCACTGAGACTCTGCATCCAACATTTGAGGCTCACTGTGGTTTCAGTGTGTGGTCTTCTTCCTAGGACGACTTGGAAAATGACAACATTTGCAAAAGGTTGTACTCTGAAAACATAAGTGTAAACACTGTTTCCCAGCTTCATTTCCTTAGTCACCGTCAGGACAGTTTTAGACTTTTGGCCCTGATGACTCATTGTTTACACCAAGATTGAACTCTCTGGAAATTCAAATAAACACCACCCAGCCTTCTCCTGATATCCAGGAAGCAACACGTGCTTTCTCTCAGTTGTGGCTACAGAGATTTCATGTTGTCCTTTAATTCTTGCCATGTATGGTGCCCTTTGCTGGTTATTTAACCTTGGAAAATAACAAACCCTGCAGACTAAAGTTTGCTCTTCTATAAAAGGCGATTAAATGATAGTGACCGCTGAGGTTTGTTGGTGAGACTAAAGGAGAACCATGCGACCAGGAACCAGGCAATTGACACGCACTTATTAAATGCTAGCTATTATTATCGTAGCATGTGACAAATTCAAAGGAGAAAACTGTGAGCTGAAGAAAATTATAGGTACATTGTAATAATTGAATAATACACCATGTGAATTTATTGCAAGGTCTTATAATAAAGGGTTTTGTATGAACCACAAATAGACAGTTTGGCAAAACAGTATTAACATTTTCTAGGGGCATAGTATATTATTGTGATTATTTCTTTATAGTTTTTCTGGTTCACTAGTAATTTTTGTTTTTTACAGTTTTATACATGTGCACTGTGTATTGTGGCTATCCCCAAACCTGCTCTATTTGCTCCCACTTTTACCAGCAACCCTCCTGCCTACAAATCTCTCTTCTGTATTTTTTCTAGTTAGGGTTTTTACAGTGTGTTAGTGTTTAACTAGGGTTGGAGCTAATTTTAAGAACCTGGTGGGCTCACCAGTGGTCACATAGCTGGATACCATGCCTTTCCTTTCCCCAGAATCTGATGGTTACCCATAGATTAGAATTAAGTGGACATGCCCCATGAGTCACTTGCCCCTTTATATCTGACTGTTAGGAAGGACAGACTTTTGTGGGCCCTGTGCCAGGATGCACGGCTGCTGTGAGTTTATGGTTACCAAGTCTGTGTCACTTAGAAAGAAGGAAGGACTCCACAGTCTGTCCTCCTCTTTTGCAGCTCCTCCATTCCTTCCCTCTTCTCTTCCACAATGTTTTCTTAGCATCATGGGGATGCTATAAATGTCTTCTTCGGGGTGAACCCCCAGTTAGCCTTATTCTCAGCACATGTACAGCCATGTGTCCTTGCATTTGCCCCATTCATTGTTGCCAGAGAGGCTTCTCTGATTGAGGCTGAGAGCAGCCTTTTCTATTTGCATAAACATACATATTTAGTAGGTAGTTTGATGCAGTGGTTTTCCAGGGTCTAGAACATCTTTGGCCATGGGGTTTCCTATATTAGGAATGATTTCTTATTATACAGCAAGCCCTGGGCCCAATTAGAGAGTAATTATTTGCCCCAGGCAATCACACTGCTATTGCAACAATGGATACATCTTCCCTGGGAGGTGATATTATAATTCAAAGAGTTCACCGTTGAGATAGACCATTAGTACTTCTATACACCAGCAGCCTGATTTGCATCATCTGGTACCATGAGAACAAGCTAGCCAGCAGAAAGAAATCTTTCAGACCAGTTCTAGATCGATTTCTCTACACTTTCAATCCAACAGTAACAGGTTCCATCATCCAGTTCTGATGGGTTACCAGGAAGAATGGCAAGGACATGCACTGTTTGGGGGGCTCTCTGACCAATGGAAGTGCCCCACACTTGGCACTAGAGATTTTGTTTAGTGGCCCATTGTTTCTAGGACCAGAATTTTCTGATCTTGCAAAACATCTCCCTTAAAACTCTCTTTTCCGTTTTCACTTGGGTTCCCAGAAAGGAGGTTAATGAATGGGTTTCTTACAGCTCTGCTTTACTCCCTACATTCCCTCAATTCATTACAAACTTTTATGCCTGATATTTTGTATTTCCCATATTAAATGCTATTTGAACACTTGCATGTGTACGCGCGCACACACACATTTGGACAGGTGAACCTATACAGAGTCTAGACTACCTGCCTGGATTGAACATAATTTAAGAAAGCTTGCTCTAAGAAAATATTTACTTTGTTTTTCTTTTGTTTGCCTTCTGTTTTTTTTTTTTTTTTCTGAAATGGGGAATAATCTTGCATGGTGAAGACCTATTTGATTGATGGGGTGGTTTGAATAAGATTAGGACTGAGATAGCCTGTCCCTGTCCCTCACTAAACATTACTGCAGGAAATCTGACCCCTCTATCCATGGAAGAACTGCATCTCTCCCACACCTGCACCAGAGAAAAATGGCCCCACCCCTCACCATGGGCTTGGGAAAACTGGACCCTGATGGCATGGGCATAGAGGAGCTGGCTCTATTCTTCATCTGAGCAAGATAACCCCAGTGGCCTGGACTGACGAGCTTAACTACCACCCAGACCCACTTCTTGGGCCTTGAGTTGGCCCAACCTAGCATCTACCCCATCTATGACCCTCTGGAGCACATGAATGGGCTGGGCCTGCAGAAGGATAACCACAGGATCTCCATGACCCACACTAACAACAGGATATACAAGAGCTTTGGTGAGACTCCAATGATGGTGGTGTGTCAGAGGCCTTGAACTAGACTGATGAATCATTGCGATAAACATTTTGTGGATGGGACTGTTTACTTCATAGCACATCACAGCACCCAATGCCACTAGGATGAATGAAGAGGTGTTGGAAAGATAGAGAAGCAAGATATTTTTGTTTGATTTGTTTTGAATTGATTTGGAGGGGGTTGGAGGATGCTTCAGGGGTGAGGGGATGATATGGAGGGACTGGGAGGTGAATAGGATTGGAGTACATGATGTGAAATTCCCAAAGGATCAATAAAGAATTATATTTAAAAAGAAAAATGGTTCCAAAGGCTAATATATTTGAATGCTTGATCATCAGGGAGTGGCACTATTTAAAAAAGATTAGGAATTGTGACCTCGTTAGAGGAAGTGTGTCACTGGGAGTGGACTATGACATTTCTTCTTTTTTTTTTTTTTTTTTTTTTGAGACAGTGTTTCTCTGTTTAACAGCTCTGACTGTCCCAGAACTTGCTTTGTAGACAAGGAAGCTGGCCTCACTCACAGAGATTCACCTTCCTCTGTCTTTTTACTTCTGAGATTAAAGGCGTGCAGCACTACTGTCAGGTACTATGATATCTCAAAAGGTCACACCAGACCCAGTGTGCTGGCTCTCTCAGCCAGCAGATCAGGATGTAGCTCTCAGCTGCTTCTCTGGCATCACACATGCCGCCATGTTGCCTGCCATGATAACTGACTAAATCTCTCAAACTGTAAGCCAGCCCCAATTAAATGCTTTCTTTTATGTCAGTTGCTGTGGCCATGGTGTCTCTTCACAGCAATAGAACACTGACTAAGACAAATGACATTCCTTTAGTTCAAGAGTTTATATGGCCTAATTTGAAGAAATCTGTCATTTAAATAACATCTGACAACTGCATCCCCAGGTATCTCAACTGTAGACCAGTCACCCCTTCCTTTGCTTCTCTTTTATAACCATCCTATCAATGTGGCCAGCTCAATAGAATCTTCATGACATGGGAACATTGGATAATTTCATCCCTCATGTCTAAATTGCTCCCCTGACAATGATTTGAATGAGTAAGTGAATGAATAAGTGGCTATGTTTCTTTCTGAGTTTCCTGTAGGACTAAGAGTGTAAGCCCTTGGGTATCCAAGTTCTATTGTTACAGGTCACATTGTCCATGAAGATTTAGATAAAATCACCTCAAACTACCACAACATCAAAATAGGAGATAAAGGACCCTTGAGCTCTCTCAGGTCAGGGTTCCGAGGTCATACTCTCCTCCCTTCCCCTCTCAAAGGTTTCTGACTTGCCTTTCATTCCCTGTACACCCTTGTTTCTGCACCATTTCCTTTACTCAAAGGGAGCTCTTGACTGCCTCTTAGTGTCTCAAAACAGTCTTAACCCAAGGTCATACTTAGCAAACCTAAAAGGTTTACACTAGTAGCCTTGAACAACCCACATCATGCAGCATATTGTACATCTATAGTAGAAGTCCCTAGCTAAGAGCTTCCATCATTGTAACTGGTGTTCAGAACTCCCACTGATATCTCTCCTCAAATATCCATTCTGGTTTCTTCAGTTTCCCTGCTTCCCCCAGACTCCTGCATTCTGGTCAATGTCTTGGCCAAAGCACACTACGTCATTGTCACCCAACTTGGCTGTGCCTTACAGAGGCCAGGCTACTCTGACAGCCATTCTGCAATGGGATTAGGAAAAATGCCCCTTTTTCTTCAAGTACTTGGAATATTGTCTACCAGCTTGGCAGTTTTGTTGGTTAGCATTGCCTTCTTGATTTCCTGCTGTCTGGTTTTGACTTAGTTAAAGTCACAACTAATGATCTTCATCTCTTTCTGTCAAAAGAAGATACTTTGCTGTGGGAACTCCTTCAATCAATAGACTTTAAGATATTGGCCCACATTGGGCGTGGTCACATGTGCTATATATACAGATGTAAAAGCATGTGCATTGCCGGGGGAGGACACTTTTGGCTGCTGGTTGCAGTCCCAGTTCCCCACCCATGCAGAGGACTGATGATCACTACCTTTTCTGTGAGTCTACTCTGAAATAATAAAGAAACCATTATTATACTCCATTCTGGGCTAGTGTAGGGTTATTTTATTATAAGCAGCAACAA